TATATATATATATATATATATATATATATATATATATATATATATATATATCTAATCTTTAACATTCATTATTTTGGTTACACATATTTATTAATGTATAGTTCCCTATCCCTTGTCGGGATTTCCACTACTCTATGCCTTGCGTTATACATTTTTACATAATACATATTATACTATTACATATTATATTTACTACTTTACATACATTTTACTTTTGCTATTCTATTTCTACTTTAATATCCACATGTTTCTGGTAGTACATTTAGATCTTTTACACTTTCATCTATACCTATAATAGGTTTTACATCTTTACATTTATACATATATACTGTACTTTCAACAGGTTCTTTTAGAATTTTATATATATTATACGGCTTGGTAATTAGTATCACTAACCAGTGGACCAAATTTTTATGTTTGTTACTTCAGAACTCCATCATTAGTTAACCGACCCTGAAGAGTGGAAATTAGGGAATTATACAGACTGTACAGTAAAGCTAGTAATACAGCTGGTTTTTTTACTGTTTATGTTTAGAACTAAAACTTGTAACAATTAATCAGAACCCTGACCTGGTAATAACTGTGACAACAATTATATAAACTTTAAATATAAATCAAATATGTTACACATCTATTCGTCACGTGTGATATTTATTTAAAGACCTTTGACTCCCACTGCATTACAGAGACTGATAAAATCTTTAATCTCGGGAGAGATGCTGCGGCCTCACAGAAAAATGGTGTTAAGCCACTCTCTCTTAGTTTTTCACGAGTGACTGAAGTTAGTAAAGACCTAACCCGTTCCCTTAACTATTGTCGAGAAGAGATACCCAAAGCAATGTTTAATTTATTAATTTAAAAAAATCCAACGCCCGCATTAGGAATATATCCTGAGTCGCGAGGGACTTTTCTAACCTACATGAAACGGAACGGAACAACAATTTGTGGATCACACAAAATGTCGTCCAATGTGGGTATCGAACCCACAACACTCAGCGTAGTAGTAAGCGTCGTGGCGACCGCTTAAACCACTGCGCCATCAGTGCGTTAATAAGAGTTATAAACAGAGTACACGGGTAACTACTGTGACAATAGATTTTTCGGTGAAGTAATCAACTGTAGTCGCAACGAGGGTACGACAGGGCCATTCTCTCGTGATAGGAATAAACCTGTGTTACGAGTAAAGAAGCGTAATCCCAGTCGTAACAGATGGTACATGTTTACAGTAGAACTACATCAGGACTGGGTCCATATGTTAGGCAAGTCTGAATTTCAAACCCGGTCATATTTAAAACTAGGATATGGATTAAAAGGCAAACAAAATATAAAAACGTATTTAAATATAGTTTAGAGAGCAATTACGAATTTATTTAGTGTAATATGTTGTGGATGCATCTGTTTGTATGTGTGTGTGTGTGTGTGCGTGCGTATGTGTGTGTGTGTGTGTGTGAGTAAGTAAGTGTGTATGTGTGTGTGTGTTTTTTAAATGTACAAACGTGGTTGGGTTTATACGAGTGTGTGTGTGCGCGTGTTTAAAGTTTAAAGTGATCTTACCCATACATTTTCAGAAAAAAGTTTTAAACAAATTTTCTGTGTCCGAATAGTTTTGTAATTCAATTAATTAGTTTCATTCATTGAATTCATTGCATAGTTTTACAATAAATATTGATTGAAAATTTGAAAAAAAAATTGTATTACAACAATGTTTTGTAGTGACCCATTATGCTATTAAGATTAATAGTGGATGCACTTAAATGGGACAGTAACATAGAGAAACAATAAATGAAGAAAACATAATTAAATAAAGGAAGGAAAAACATAATACATAAAATATAACTGGCACATTAGCTCACTTTCTTCTAAATATTTGCAATAGCCTGCCACCTCAACCAATTTTTTTTTCAACTCATGGCACCCCCATGGTATCAGAGGGAAGGGAGGTTTGGGATTCTTGGAAGGTAAATGTAAATGCGGGTCAAAATCACATTGAACTGTGATTTATCATTTGCCCCAAGAATAAGAGGGGTGCCTCCAGTCAGCATACTTTCTCGGTGAAAAATTACAAAAGATGTAATACAAAAACGGCGTGCAATCGATTAAACTAAACGTATTTAAATAAAACAAAACATTTTAGAATAAAATAATTTATTAATAATATATTCCAAACTAATATTTCTTAATGATATTACGTACAAAGCTTGATGGAAACAAGAATTCAGCTTAACTATAACCTTTGGCATTAATGATATAATTATCTTTTTAGTTAATCAATAAAATAATGTTGCGCCATTGGATTAAATGGTTCGATTGTATGGAATGTGGAGGACAGCGCCATCTAGTTTCGACTAAAGTACACCTATTAAGATTGTGGTTAATACGGTAGTTCTGATCCTTACAGCGCTAGATGGCACTGAAAGTAACTTCTAAATAAAATATTCTGGAATATTCTTGTTGTCTGGAACGGACTATCGAATACTAGGGATCTTTCTAGTAAAATTTAAAAGCGCTATAGCGTGTTGACCGTTTGGTTTGGCGACTAATGAGATATATACATACAAAGTTGTCAAACCACGTTAATGCGTAAAAGTGTCTATTGTATGGCACCACTAATCTTTAATAAACTGCCGGGCGAGTGGAAAGATTTGGAAACAGTTGTATTTAAGAGTAGACTACGTAAATTTCTAGTAGACAAAACTTACCGTACTCGTATCTTACAAATATTATGGATTAAATATTAAGATACAGATTATAAAATAAAAGCAAGAAAAATAACAATAATAGATCATAAACGTTCCTGACGCCTACACTGATTTAAAATGCACCTAGTGGTTCAAAAAAATTGTTATCTACTAAACAAATACAATGTCTTGAAACTATTTTGAAGTGACGGCTAATTTCAATACAAATCTCTTTGATAAAAGTCATTGGCTATCGACTGTCGACTAAGGGAGCAAACTATGCAGGACAACAGCACTGCAAAGAGAAGGAAAACTTGACACAAACCCTATACCAACCCGTCTGGCTAGCGTGATATGGTAAGCCAAAACGTCCTTTCTAAGGAAAGTGTTTATGTCCAGCAGTGGACTATTAAAGGTTTTTGATGATGATGATGATTTGGGGAGTCGGCTCCACTGTTTGCAATGGTTACTTATTGGTTTCAAAAATTTAACATGGTCGTTATAACCTAAGACCCCAGACCCAACCTAACAATAGCGTACTCATGAAAATACACTCACGTAAAATAATTTCATTACAAGGTTATCAAAGGAAGAAGATTAAAATGGGCTAATGTGGGGCCTTACTGTAATATGTAATTTCAGTTACTGGAAATATTGGATTACACTCTCTCTTATCTTTTCAGGTTACATCAGGTTCGTCTCCATTTTAATGTTTAGCAAAATTGTCCGTCCGATACAATTGCTGACGTATTTTATCAAGGCGCTATATTTTTACCAATATTATTCGTCCTATCTTATAAGATTTAAAACTTATTTCTAAGCAAAAGAGAGCCGACAAAGGAGCAAACAACGCAGAACAACAGCACTGCAGAGAGAAGGAAAACTTGAAACAAACCCTATACCAACCCGTCTGGCTGGCGTGGTATAGTGGGCCAAAACCTCCTTTCTAAGGAGAGGCCTGTTACAGGACTATCAAAGGCTGTTGATGTGATGTCTGTTGGTTTCGCATTTATTATTTGTAATCAAAAGAATATATATTATTTGATATTAAATAATAATGTTCTTAACAGAACAATAATATACCTAACATTTTACATATTTTGTCAGAGACAGCCGCCTCATTAATCGTTATATCCCTAGTTAGGCAGCGCATGTGATATGGTAACCTCAATAAAATTCATGAAATATTATTTTTCATACAAACATTATTCTAACAGAAGAATTAGTCCAATAGGTCCAGCAGTTGTAAACTTCTTCAAAGCCGAATCAATAAATAAATGAATATAAGTCTAGTGACACAAGACGTATCTACAGACGTTTGAAGGAATATTTATTATTTCTTAGCTCTCCACCTCAACTTCAAAAAGGTCTACTAGCAACTGAAATTACTAGTATTCCCGTTAACCACTCCCGCTAAGCTAATTTGCTTGTGTTAGGAGTGGGTTCACGTCGATAGTGTACTTGTCAGGATTTTAACCCACGACCTATTGATCGTAAGTCCAACGCCTTAACCACTAGACTACCGCCGCATTGACATTAGTATTTAAAATTAGTATTTTAGTATACTAATGAAGAAAATGAAGTAAGTATTTTAACAGTTCTTGTTTCTTTTTTTTACAAGATCTTTTTCGGATGTAACGGATAGACGTAGATAATGGAAGAAACTGAGAACCCAAAAGTTAATCTATCAATTCTGTAAATATTTTACTGATCTTCTACCGTCTTTTGTATCACTAATTTACTGACTTTCTTTTGTTATGATATTTTAACCCGATGTTTTCATTTTTTCATCGAAAAATTAAAACCAACATTATTATAACAACTACAAACACAAAAAAAAGAAGTATTAGCAAATAGGTCCAGCAGTTCCGAAGTAATGCGCTTACATACATTCGACATCTATTTGGATAGAAGAAGAAGGAGATTTTTAGGCCATCCAAAAATGACGTCACACGTAAAGTCACGTCACACGTCACACGTACTTTATATGACGTTGTGTGATAAAGGGTGGGAGGTGTCCTAAGTTTCGTAACGTCGCATTTAAAAACCTAATATATCTAAGTATTACAGCGAGAAATTTGCATTATTAACAGTGATATGGGAGTCTCATAAATAAATAGGACGGGAGTGTCGGTCAGAAGACCATGAAATTCGTCTGACGTAATTTGTGGATGAGTCCTTACACTAGGAATTATATATAACTTAAAATATTTTCAAATTTAAATATTTCACTATCCGTCATGATTACTTTAATACCCCATTTAATGACACTAACTACCTAGAAGTCTAACCTAAAAATAAATCCTCTTCACCAAAACAGGACTAAAAAGGTATTTTATGGCCTAAAACGCTAGCAGTACTTGTAATCCATTGCCTGAACGATGCAACCCTGGTGTACACTCCAGGTCTTGCACGCCGTGCGCATCCAGATCCCCAGGACACAACTCCGTGTAACTGCCAGCTGTTAGACACCATACATGCTAGAGGGCCACCAGAATCACCGCGACAAGCATCTACTCCTCCTGAGAGAACTCCTGAAATATTAATAATAAATCATTTTCAAGAAAGAATTGCAGGAGCCCATTGCCATAAAATTCCAATTTTCTCGTAGGTACATAATTATTGAACCCTGACATCCAAATTAGGTACAGACCTGTGTTTTGGACGTCAGTTTTCTACTAGGGCCACTATTGACCATATTGTCCATCTTGGACTTGATGGCATTACTGTTACAATTTCATAACATGATTGTCATAACATGGTTACGGTTTAGATGTAAATGAATAAGCATGGATTGTAAGAGGAGTCAATATCACTCTAATGATGATTTTCTTTAAAATAACCAATTGATTATTACTTAATTCTTTTAATTTAACCGGTTTAGCAGTTCTTTTATTGCTTTTCACCAAGTAAGTGAGGTACTGAAGCCCAAACTATGTCCTCATTCTTTTTTTTTCCTTTGCGGAACTCCCCTGGGATACCACCCACCAGCGGGGTGGTTATGTCGGACTCGAACCGACCAAAAACCGCACGCCGTCTCCAGTCCAAGTAGCCGGGGAACCAGGTATACCTTACAACGGAAAGTCCTGGTAACGTAACGTATCTCAGGCCATCTACGGCTTAAAAATGACCCTCTCCTGTGTGGGAAGCCCGATGTTCCCTTCCTGCCCCCGAAGGGCATGCGCGCTAAGTAGAGCGTTGCGCGTCGCCCACCCTAGCCTGCTTCTGCTAGGGTAACAGATGGCCTCAATTCTGTCTCTTAGCTAAAAGTACATAATACCTAAAAGTGTAAGGAACTTCGTTCTTACCCGCGCATATCATAGAGTCCAGTATCGTCTGCTGTCGTCCCCCCAAGACCTGATTCTTCCTACATGTTGCAAGGTCCAGTACCGGAACTGCAGCTGCTCTTAGGATCGGTGCGAAGTTCTCCGTGTTTTCTGAAAGACATGGTCAAATAGATCTTAAATATAGCTTTCCATAAGACTAAATTAATAAAGAGGTTTCGGCCTACTATACCATGCCGGCCAGACGAGTCGGTATAGGGTTAGTGTCAAGTTTTCTTTCTCTTTGCAGTGCCCTTGTCTTGCGCAGTGAACCTTCTTTCTAAGGAGAGGCCTATATCCAGCAGTGGACTATTAAAGGCTGTTGCTGGTATTAATAACTGGCAGTCCTGCCTCACTTAGTGTTATAGCATTTATTCCATTCCTTTTTTCTTATGAAAGAGGGGTGAAGCGAGCAGACGGGTCATCTGATAGAAAGTGATTACCGCAGCCCATTAAAGCCTGTAACTCAGGAGTCTCAAGAGCGTTGCCGGCTTTTACGTTACTCCCCTATTCATTCCTTAAGCTGACAAAACGCAGATGACCAGTCCAGACCAGTGATACTTACATAATGTAAAGGATCTCTTTAGAATCAAGTTCAACATCATTTTTTGCTTGAAACTTTCTTCATCGATCACGGAATAAATTAAGTTACCGGAAGACTATCCTTCGACCGCCGCCATTATTCTGGCGGGACGACTCGGTAATAGGTGTTCATTGATGGTGTTTACTTCCCATCAGGTGACCCGTCAACACATTTGCCATATATGCGCATTCTTCCAATTTACTACTACATGTGGCGACTTTAAAAAATTATATGATCATAATTCAATTTGTATATTAAAAAACAAATACTAAGTCAAAATACCTGTCTGGAAGCCCCAGCCACTGACAGCACACCATTTTCCAGGAGCCACTCCCTCTTGAGGTAAGCAGATGGGACGAACATGAGAATTGAACTGGACACCGTTCCCAGACCTTGAGACTAGGATCATAGCTATATCGTTGCTATGAGGACCATCTGAAATTTATTATATTTTATATTTTTATTTACTCTACATTATTTTCTGAGTCGGTGGTGCAGTGGTAGCGTATGGGACTGGTTACTCACTCACTCCTTATGTGTATGTCCCATATATAGAGCCTTCTGATATCAAATCCGTGGATGGGTCATAGTCCAGAAAAATGATTAAGAAAATCTGGAAAAAGCTATTAGTATTATTTTCTAATGATCTTACTCTTCCTGAAGTCCGGGTGACGCACCACTTTCTCAGCAAGGAATCGGTGCTCAAATTTATCTTGAAGCTGCAGGCGATGATCTCCAACAACGATTCGAATGTGTTCTAGTTCCAGAGGTTGCTGCAAAGACCAGACCATCGATTTGAATAAATAATTTATAACCTTAAACATTCAGTAACAAAACGACAGAGCCTAGTGCGGAGTTTTTTTTTATGTTAGAGGGGGCAGACGAGCAGACGGGTCACCTGATGGAAAGTGACCATCGCCGACCATAAACGTCTGCAACTCAGGAGTCACAAACGCGTTGCCGTCCTTTGAAAAGTGTTACGAATTTTACTTTGACTCTTATTTTGCTACAATAAATTTTTAACCGTCTTCAAAAAAAGACGATTTAAAAAAACTTCTTTTTTAAGAGACACTTCCTTCCAAAGATACCACTACCAAGGGTGAAAAATAAAGGCATAAGGAATACAGTTTACTTTTGATACATGTGCATTTAAATTGATGATACCTTTTAAAAAATAAAATAAAAATGTATTAATTAAATCAATCATTATGTCCAACGATATAAGGAGCTTAAAACGAAACAATATATTTAATCCTAGGGAATCTGTATGATATTAAAGATCAGGGGTATTTTTTCTGGTCGTCAGATCAAGGACCCAATAGGCCTTATTGCCTATCTTCCACTAAATTTAGGATAGAGCTACTCTTATTATGTTCATCCTGGCCCTTTACGAACTAACATATTCTGTGCCCTCTTGAGATGTAATTTAAACAGTATATGAACCTTATCGAAGCAATGAGCGGCGGAGAGTACCAGTCGTTCTGCGATGACAGCGCCCCCACAGTGGTGTTCAAATTTCAAATTATCCACATCCAACATTTGTATCTCGACCTTAAAAAAAAAGAACTCATTAAAACTTTAATTACTGAGAGTATAAGTAGAACAAAAAGTTGTGTTTTTATAATGTCCATCACCATCGTCACCAACAGTGCACTGCTGATCATAAACCTCTTCTTAGAAAGGAGGTATTGACCTACTATACCACGCTGGCCAGACGGGTTGGTATAGGGTTTGTTTCAAGTTTTTCTTCTCTTTGCAGTGCTGTTGTCCTGTAGTTTGCGCCCTTAGTCGGCTCTTACGACACCCACGGGATGAATAGTGGTGGTGACATTTCGTATTTTTATGAGTTTGTTTGTTACGTTTTCATACCTAAACCACTAAACCGATTTTTTTTTTTTCACCAATAGAAAGCTACATTGGAAACAAGTAACATAGGCTACTTTTTACCGCGGTAACCAACATGCACATGGGCGGAGCCGCGGGTGAAAGCCAGTATTTGTATAAAGATATGAAGATCTTTTCGTCCTGCAAGACGCTTCACGCCTTGGAGAAGCGTCCAACTCATCTGTCGTGTTCAGAATGGTTCAATCTCGAAGTACCTAAGTAAAAAGCTATATGGCACAAGTAGGTATGAACTGTATATTTGATCCTGAATGGTTATTTAAGATTCAGGCATGATATTATGTATAGGTATTGGATGGAATACATGCTTGGTTACAGAAAGAGGGACAGGTTTTATGAACTTCACCCGGAGTAGAGCCTTAAAAAAAGAAAAATATTTATGCAAGTATGTCCAGACATAGGGCCTCGCGGTTGGCGCTTGGTAGACCTTGAGAACATATCGTCACAATAACAATGATTTTCTAATTTTAACCGCAGCATGGCAGCATGTTTGCGTATAATAAGTCAAGTCTGTACATGACAAAAGGAAAAAGCAAAGGTTTATTACACTCTATTCTTGGTATATTACCAGACTCCGTTTTACTGAAAACTTCTGATACTAAGCTAATAATGATAACTTCACACATCTCGCACACGGCCGTCTGATCCCAAACTAAGCAGAGCCTGTACTATGCTAACAAGACTGCTGTTCATTTTACTTATATCTGTACTAATAATATAAAGCTGAAGAGTTTGTTTGTTTGTTTGAACGCGCTAATCTCAGGAACTACTGGTCCGATTTAAAAAATTCTTTCAGTGTTAGATAGCCCATTTATCGAGGAAGGCTATAGGCTATATATCATCACGCTAAGACCAATAGGAGCGGAGCACCAATGAAGAATGTTTCAAAAACGGAGAAAATGTATTACTATTGAGAGACGCAGACCAAGTTGCGCGGGTCAGCTAGTTTCTAAATATATACATATTATTGACAATTATATATTACATCATTAGTTAGCATGGTCCTAATCGTGGCCCTATGCGTGGTGGTAGCATCGTATCTGAACAAAGGCTCTGTTTAGATCTGGAAGTGAAAACACATAGTAGAGTCTACCATTCCCTTTAGACTCTATCTATACTGTCACTTTCACATTGTAAGAAGATATAAATTATGTGACCTTGAGCCAGTGACAAAGGGATTATCCTTGGCTCATTGTGGACACAGCTGGTAGACACTGGTGTATTGTTTTCAAACATGTCTTTGAAGAAGAAACTCGATTTACTAAACATGTTGGTCTAGTGGTTGGTGATCCTGATTGCTAGATCAGAGTTCGTGGGTTCGATTCCTACCCAGGAGAAGTAAATATGTGAGACGCGCCAGCATTCGACATATTCTGTGACTGTAGTATGACATATAGTAAATAAATATGAATAAATTAATATTTCGGACAACTGATACAAAACGCCATCTTGTTTCAAACTAGGCAGAGCTTGTACTATGAAAGCTAGATTGACTGATAGAATACATTTTTTTTTGTAAATCCCACATATTATACATAGAAAACACCTAAACTCAGAAAAAAAAATTTGCAGATCATACAAACATTTGGATCGACCCGAGAATCAAACACGCGACCTCAGCTCAGCAGTTGCATACGCCCCTACTGCACCACCGGGGTAGTCAATAATCACCTATTGTGTCATACGAACCTTAAAAAGAGAATTCAATAACAGCAGTTACACGAATATAAACATCCTGAATCAATATAAAATTAATCTTGGTAAATCACCCAGATATTACGATGTAAACACCATGAGACATCATTACAAAAGTGAAAGCTGTCATAATTACCCGCCATTTATTTCCGAACGTAAAAAGAATGTCAAGTTGACATTTTGTTTTCGCGCTCTCTTTGCGCGGGATATGAAATACAAATTTAAGTTTAGGTTATGTAACACGTTACACATTTCGTTTTCACGGACGTAATGTTTTGCGGTTAGCTTTTGTACGGCAATTTTAGTTTGTCTGCAAATGATTTTGTATAGAATTATTTGATGGTGTCTTTTTAGAAGCTCCGCAATTGTATGAATAGGATTCTGTAGCAAGATGCTTAGGATGACCAATACCTTTAAGCACTTCAAGCTATTTGCTGTGTATACGAGTTATAAATTTTATCTCACATAAAGACCAATACTACTAATAGGTATTACTCATTGAAGCTTATCCATACTAATACATACTAATTTTGTAAATGCGAAACTGTGTCTGTCTGTCTGTTACCTCTTTACGCTTAAACCGCTGTACTGATTTATATGAAACTTGGTACAGATATCGTCTGAGTCCCGGGAAAGAAAATAGGGTAGTTTTTATCCCAGAACTCATCCATTAAGTGGATGAAAAGGGGGGTGGAAGTTTGTATTGGGAATCAATACCCGCTGAACCGATTTAGATGAAATTTGGTATGAAGATACTTTGATTCTTAAGGAAAAACATAGGCTATCGCGACAACCGATATTTACACGGGCAGAGCGTGCGGATACGTATTTTTGTAATGGGAAGACCAGAGATATATATTACTTATATTTGAAGATATTATGTGACCTTTTAATATATAATAGCAAGCAATATATTCCTTTCCTGTAATTATTGTTGTCCCATCTTAAAATAAGTCGTACCTGATTAACGCCAATAGACTTTCTCCCTATCAAACAAACATATCCCTACAAATAAATAAAATTGAAGTTTCTGTTTGTAATGTCAAAACAATAGGATTTTTTCATGCTCACGCATGGTAATTTGCACGATACCTATGCCTAAAAACCAGTTAATATATTTTTTGTCTGTTTGTTCCGGGTAATCTTCAAAACGGCTGGACCGATTTTGATAATATTGTACTACCAGGTAACTGTCTACATACGGAGTAACTTAGGCTTTTTTCCTCTCAGAAAAACCATATAAAATTTTGCCCGGTCCGGGAATCGAACCCATGCCTCATGGACTGCAGTCGCGTACCGTACTACACCACTAAGGAAGTCGCGGGTACCAGCTAGTTACATAAACACGCAGCTTCGCCGCTATAAATACTATAATAATACATCTAATCAAAGAATATTATCTCTGTGTCTATGTATAATTTATTGATTTATTGTCAAGGTTACATTTTTACATAGGATCCTTGTAGGGGATGTTTTTCGAGTTTGGTGTAAGCGGTCATTCCGTAGCTTCCTACGCATATATTATGGGACAACACTATGTGATCCAGAAATTATTGTTCTGAGTCTGGGTGTTCTTTGTGTCCGTTTCATGTATGTTTGTAAAGTCCCCCGCGACACAGGATTTATTCCTATTGCAGGAATTGTCTTTTTAAAAAGAGAGAAAAAAAAAGTATGACTAAAGTTGTTAATATTTCTTAATGAAAATAAATGCTTTGTTTGTGGTTACCTATAATAACTAGAGACACCTTACACTCAGCCATCTGTTTCTAAACTAATCAGTGCCTGTATTTATAAAAAAGCTGATAAACTATTATAAACCAATTGTTTTGTATTTTTATCCGATTTCAAAAAGGAGGATCAATTCGGATGTTTATATTTTTAATAAACATAGATAGATTTTCAAATTTCTTTTTTTATTCTAAATTGGTTTATTACGAAATGTTCTCATTTCAATTTTATATAGGTCTGATAATCAGTTTGGGAGGCAGACAACGGAACTAAACCGCGATTGCTGCTAAGTTTTGCTCTTGTATTGTTTGAAGTCGGTTCAATTTTTTTTAAAGGGATTTACACAAGATAAAAGCAAGTTCAAAATTATAAAAGAAGAGAAAAAGGACAACTTACTTGCCAAGGAAAAGCTCCATATGGTGTTTCGGTACCACCAACTATCTTGCCAGTTCTGAGAGGGTTGAAGTCCACTGTTCGCGTACCACAACGCACTTTCTCACCCTTGACCGGTTTCGATACTGAATTTTGATTAAAATAATTTGTCGAGAAACTTGAAAAAGCTTTCGAAGGACGAGTTCTGTTTTTATAATATCCTACGTGATTTATTCTGTTCAGAAAATATTCCGAATTTACCGTACTAATAAAAAAAATTAAAGAAATAATCTCTGGAAACATTTTTCTTGATAAAATTAAAAAATAATTTCAAATTAAAAATAAATATATCTGAATTTTAATTGAATAACGGTTATTAGATTCCAAAATTAAAATTCAAAACGTCCACACATTATAGCGGCCGAAAACAAAATGAGACATTACTGAACCGATTTTTTTTTAAACATACACACTCAGTGATCACAATGCCACAAGACCGAATGACACAAGCAAATGTGTGTCACTAGATCAATCCGAAGATGCATCCTTTGTGTTTAAAAGTGAACAACATTGATAAAATCTTTTGTTATTTTTTTTTTAAACTGAATACCAAGACTTTGACAATGCGTGCTCTAGACATCCAAATGTGCATTTGATGGACCTTTTCACGGACGTTTTATTAAACTGATTCATGGATATTAGTATTTTTTTATAGTCTTTTTTAGGTTTACTGAAACCTGTTTGGGAAATTCCTTTTCAAGTTTTAAGGAGAACTTTCAATAATAGTGATGAATCAATCAACGGAACGAATCGTCACTTTCGGTGTTTCCAAACCATTACGACCTTTGAATGTGCAAGAAAAGAGCATGCTGCCACCTCAAAGTCTGCCTAACGCCCCTAAAGAAGTTTTCATTTCAAATAGAATATTGCGGTGAATCATCTTATCTTAAGACATATCTTCATAATAAACCTCCTGTATTGTTCTAAATATTCAATGTCAGTCCTTTAGAACTAGTTCATTTAACGTGAGTACTATGAAATCTAGAGGCAATTACATTTTCATATTAATGACATTCCACGCGTAGATACCAATCATTACTTACTGAAAACTGTGTACACAATACTAAACACACTCTTTGCTGTGACTTTGCTTTCTTTATAAGACATCTCCCGCACTAGAAATACATCCTGTGTCGCGACTTTCATTTTTCATTTTCATTTCATTAGGGTTCCGAACCTTTAAAGGTAAAAAGGGAACCTTTATAAGATCACTTTCTTGTCCGTCTGACCGTCTGTCCGTGTGTCATCACCGATTTTCTCAGGAACGGGTAGACCCAGCAAGTTGAAATTTATACCAGATACTGAGGTCTATGGTCCCTATTAGGTGTATAAAAATCAACGTCCTGAGTCAACACGATAAAAAGATATGGGCAATGTTTCGATTTTCGCGAAAACTTGTAAGTACCAAAATGTACCCTAATTTTTTTACCTTTTTTATTTTACAGAATTTTCTCTTTACTTGTGTTGTAAGACCTTGCTTTTAACCAAAAATGACAATTCTAGGTCAACTGGAAGTACCCGAGTCGAAAACCTATATGGTAGTTCCCGTTGACCTAGAATCACGAAATTTGGCAAAAAGAAAGGTCTTACAGCACAAATAAAGGCATAATTCCAAAAAAATAAATAAAGAATATTCTTTTAAACAGCACTATTAAGTGTTATTTTATATTTGTGCTTAGTTTATACATACACATATGCACCTGCCATGTCCCTTACTGAACTATTTAAAGGTTGACTGGTAGATAATGCCATGTGGCATTAAGTCAGCCTCGTTCAAAATGTACTGCAGGAAGTGTAAAAAAAAAATATATATTCTTTGTATTCTAAGTTTTTTTAGAACCAACCACACTCGGTAAAAGTACCGACTGTTGTCACAACTTTATGGGACGAAACGACTGGACAGATTTATATACCTTATATTCTTTTCTGTAAAACTTTATGCTTATCAAACAAACAAACACCAAAAATCCACATTATTATTACTTAGCAAGAGTAAAATTCATTAAATCATTCATGAAGTCTACATAAATATGCGTTCTCGTCAATTTACTACAGAGTTCTTCGGAAAACTACTAACGGGATAATATCTAAATCAAATCTAACATTAGGTTATTTAGGATGAAATACCAAAGTTAATGAAACAAGTAATTTTCCTGAATAAAGTCTACGACTGTTATGTAGAAATATAAAATGGAACATCATACCGTGATAACTCTGCCTGGTGGAAAGATACGGGCCATACGGGCCCTTTCTGCCGGCCTCGAAAATGATCAACATCATTTTCATCATCAACAGCCTTTAGTATTGAATTGCTGGACATGAGCCTATCCTTAGAAAGGAGGTTTTGACCACGCTGGCCAGACGGATTGATATAGGGTTTGTGTCAAGGTTTGCTTCTCTTTGCAGTTATGTTGTGCTGCGTAGTTTGCTCCCTTAGTCGGGCCTTACGACAAACACGGAATGAATATGGGCGGTGACACTGCGTTATCTAAATCCGTCGAAATACGGATAGAATACAAGGTACCTTTAATCATTCCTAATGCAAACACAAATCTTCAAAAGGGATACTTATTTATCATCCCGTAGGTGGTTTGCATATCTGCCCCCTTATATCATCACCAATGATAGTAAGTTATTTCTTACACTAATATTCTTTTTACAAAATAAACATAGTAGATATCACACTAAGTGGTAACCGGGGTACGTGTCTAAGTGGTAACCGAGTAGAATAACACATTGCAATGTTAAACAATCTTAACCAAGTCAGTCTATGAATAGGTGACCATTTTTAACACATTGAGACTTTTCCGTGCCTCGGAGAGCACGTTAAGCCGTCACCATCGGTCCTGGTTGCCATACAAACATCTGTGATAATCACTGGCACTGTAAAAAGTTCGACAACAGTGTTTCCACAGAACTTCGATATCGCCTAGTACTTGGGATGTACTTGATATCGTAATACACGTAAAGCCGACTTGGAAAAAAAGGCTCGGTGGGCTAGTTCTATTGGTCTAGTGGTTAGTGACCCTGTCTGCTAAGCCTGAGGTCGTGGGTTCCGTTCCCACCCAGTACAAATATTGTGTGATGAGCACGGTCATTTGTTCTGTGTCTGGGTGTAATTTATCTATAATATGTATGTATTTAAAAATATATAAGTATGTTTATCAGCAGTCTGGTTACCATAGTACAGGCTCTGACTAGTTTGGGATCAGACGGCTGTATGTGTGAAGTTATTATTATAACACATTTTGATTAGTATTTTATTATTAATTATGCGTTCAACAAACAAACAGTAATGTCTAATAAATGTTTACAATACACAGATTAAAAATGGCGATAAATAACAATATAAGAAAGTTATGATTGTAGATATCTTAATCTGCTAACCCTGTTCTACATGATAATCATAAATAGATTTTCACTAATAGTTCTATAGACTGATGTAACCTCGTCTATCGTATTGTGTCGATACTGTCGACAAAAAAAACCGTTAGTAATCTCTGTCAAAGATTTAAAAAAAAAAGGGTTTAGGGTTACCATTTTATAAAATATCTTAAATTTTCAGGAAATATTTTAGAAGTCATACAATTAGCCGTCTTCAAAGAAAAGATAATTCTATATTCGTTTGAATGTAAATTTTTATGTGTCCTATTAGCTGCTAATTGCAAATAGGACTTAGAAAATTGCAGATGGGAAAGTATTTTGAATTTAGGAAAAAAATTAAAAAAAGAATATTGCTTATATTGAATTGGAAATTGTATGCAGCATTTCAGTTTCGGATAACTCTGAAACTGGAGTGAGTAAAATAGTTTTTGTCTTTATTACTTAATGACAAACATTCTAACACTACACTTGTGTCCTTAAAACTTAACAGGTCAAGTTACCACAGATAATATGCAAATATGAAATAAATAACAAACTAGGCCACATACAGAGGCTGTATTTTGTCCGGTACGAAGCGGTTTTCGCTACTGTTTGTAATTAGATAATGTTTACATGAGCCTCTGTAACAAATTAAAAAAAGCGTTGGGTGTCTGTCGTCAATAGTAAAAAGCAGAACTTTTTTTCTATTTTTTAGTTTGGTTTTCTAGAAAAATCGTGTTTTTTAGTTTTTTAAAACTATTTTTTTTTATTTTTTTTTTAAATTAGTGTATTGTCATCGGTCCTCGATATATCTACAAAGTTTGAACGAATTCTGACCGTTTAAAGTCAGTCAAAATCACGCCCAACGGAGTCGGTTACAAACAAACATACAAGTGAAGCTAATATAAAGCGTGTAATGAAAAGGCTCCTCGTAACCTTAAACTCATAACCGGCGTCTGCAAAAGCGGTTGAAGGAGAAGATTAGAAGCCTTGCCCTTGGAGCTGTAAGTGGGTAGAGGTTTTAATAATTGGGAATTTAACAGAGATATCAATTCAATTTATAGACTTTGATAATCTTAAACCGCAGATAAGTCATACTTCGAGCATGTGTTAATAATAATAAGTTTCGGACATCTGACAACACAACACAACGCCATCTAGTTTCAAACTAAGCAGAGCATGTACTATAAAACTAGATTGACTGATAGAATACTTATTTTTTTTTGTAAATATATAAATATTATATATAGAAAACACCCAAACCCCGGATCAAATATTTGCAGATCATACAAACAGTTGGTTCGAATCGAACCCAAGATCTCAGCACAGCAGTCTCATACGCTATCGCTGAACCACCGAATCCGTCAAAATTAAAGCGCAACTCTTGTCCCTATTCTGGGAGAGCACACAAAGTCCGAAAACGCGTATGCATATCAGGTGTCTATGACCGTTCATTTATTTGCTCTTTTTTATAATGAACATACTAGCAGATGAATTACCTAGTGGTAAAGGACACGTCCGTGTGGTGACAGATTAAAAATACGGAGTGTCACCTCCCCTGTTCATCCCGTGGGTATCGTAGAGCCGACTAAGGGAACAAACCACGCAGGACAACAACACTGCAAAGACAAGTAAAACTTCAAACAACCCTATACCCTCGCCTACCATGAACGTCTGCAACTCAGGAGTCACAAACGCGTTGCCGGCCTTTTAGTTTTTAGTATGTCGGGCTGGTTCTAATAGGCCAAAAACTGAGGAAAGGTCTTTGTCCAGCAGTGGACTTTTGGACTATTACCTTGTGGTAATGGAATTTGGAATGGCAGGTTTCCATTGACGTCAGTAGTCTTTTCATCATCAGTCAGGAATCACAATTATTTTGCCGGCATTTGAGGCGGTAGTACGCTCTTTTCTTGAAGATTTGAGGGTTGTATCGGTGCGAAAGTACTGCAGGCGATAATTTGTTCCAAAAATCAGTCCAGCGTGCAAAAAATATACAGTGGTAGAGTTCAATCCCCATGATTGAAGTTCAATGAACGGCCAGTTTTAAACCACACTCCAATTACAAAGTATTAAGATCGTCTGACCGTTTGACCACCAATAAAGCCATTTAATGAAACAGATCACAATGATTACCTTAATTTGATTACCATGATTGATGAATGCTTCCCCCAAGAATGTTTAGAGTTCAACGTCCAAATGAACTTGATGTCAATGACCGTTTTGGCTCCATGCTGTCTGGCCTCCATTACTAAAAAAACATCTTTATAACAATATCGAAGCATTATGATTAATTATTTTAACATTTACTTATTCAATGGATTGTATATTTTATGAGTGGTTTTTGTACTCCATTGATGATAATCTACAGCTAACTGAGAAGTAATAATAATATTTCGGACAAGTAACACCAACGTCATCTAGTTTCTAACTAAGCAGAGCTTGTACTATGAGAGTTAGATTGACTGATAGAATACTATTATACTTTTTTTTGTAAATACAGAAATATTATGCATAGAAAACACCCAAACTCCCAAACAAATATTTGCAGATCATACAAACATTTGGTCGGAACCGGGAATCGAACCCGAGATCTCAGCACAGCAGTCGCATACGCTACCACTGCACCACCGAGGCAGTTAAAAAATTTAATTGTTCGATAGCTTAATGGTGGGAGAGCTATACTTCGGTACATGTAGGCCAGGCTCCGGAGTGATATCACAACGTCACAGAACCCTCTGAACGTGGGAGGAAGGGGACTCAAAAAGCGCCAACGCACATGTGACTTATGACTTGCAGGTGTCCCTAGACCGCAGCGGTAGTCCTTGTTTGCCTTCCATGCCATAAAGAAAATAAAAGGTTTACGTATAAAGGAATGGTGAATTACAAGTGAAAGAACCTAAAAAAAAACACTCTGTAATAGTAAAAGGAATTAAAACCTTAAAATAAAACGTTAAAATTAATGATCTTTAAAACGTTAAAATAATTCAGTTTAGGTATATATTGCGTTGTATAAAATGTACAATTTATCTTAAAATAAATTTATAACTTAGTCTTAAATAGGCATCAGCTAATGACCTTGTACTGTACTATCATTAACGCACCAAAAATTATGCCTCTTCTATACTGACATTTTCGTTAAACCACCTAAAAAATCTCACGTGACTTTTTAAAAGTTCGACTCTGATAGTAAACACCCATCAAAAAATACCAAATAACATGAAAGAAATAAAATCAATCAACTCATTAAAAAAAGCCCTTAAGTTCTTCATCTTAAAGGAATTCTCTAGATTTTAGCATCACGATTGCAATTTTACAATACCAGCTTGCTGTCAGACATCGATATGTAATACCACCCATCATCACATCACATCAACAGCCTTTAGTAGTCCGCTGCTGGACATAGACCTCTCCTGGCCAAGGAGGTTTTGGACTACTATACGACGCTGGCCACACGGGTAGGTATAGGGTTTGTGTCAAGTTTTCCTTCTCTTTGCAGTGCTGTTGTTCTGCGTAGTTAACTCCCTTAGTCGCCTCTTACGACACGCACAAGATGAATAGGGGTGGTGACACTCCGTATTCTTAATCAGTCACCACACGGATTCTATGGATATAATACCACCCGTCATCTTTATATTTTCTTTTTAATGTACCCACATTTTAGTTGTATAATTTAGTACAATGGTTGGTGAAACCGTCAAATACGCTCGTAGATTATAAGTTTACTATTAAGTTCATCATTTGTATTTCAAATGTAAGTAAACTGTATTATTTTTGAGAAATAAATATCTTAAACCAGACAACAGAAAAATCTGGACTTATGAAGCTTTATTTAGTACTTCACGACACACCTATCCCAGGAATTACTGTTCACAACATATGACTCATACAGTACAGTTTTGAGAAGCCCTTTGTAATGCGTTCACTGTGATCTTATACACTTTCGAATCGATGATGATTCATTTCAGAAAAAATATTGATTGTCTATCACTGTATTCACGACTAGCTATTACTCACGGATTTGCTCCCGTGATTATTTCTTATTTCGTTAACTTTGAAAAAGACGAACTTCCATTAAGTAAGTTCGTTCGTTCGTTTAAGGCTCTGCGTTGATGAATGAATCAGTCAATCAAGGCAAGTAATTTCAAATGTATAGATATAGGATTACATAGACTGTTGTCGGACTTTATAGGGATCCCACGACCGGTAATGATTGCCACCAGATGTTCGTCTGTCAACCTGCCTGATGGCTTAACGTGCTCTCGGAGGCCTGGAGGGTCTCATTCTGTTAAGAACCCAAGCATAGACTGACCTGGCTAGGATTGCTTCATGATGATCAGGCTGTCGTGTGTGAGATGTGTAAAGTTATTATTCTGTAAGTAGTTCATTTTTATAAATGTTAAGTTGGTTTGTGAACGCTTCAAAAACTCGAAGAGTTCTGCACCGATTAAGTTCCAATTTTGACACCATATACAAACTGCAATGAGAAGGAAAACTTGAAACAAACCTTATACCAACACGTCTGACCAGCGTGGTATAGTAGGCCAAAACCTCCTTTCTAAGGATAGGCCTTTGTCCAGGTCTGGACTATTATAGGCTGTTGATGTGAAACAAACAGCTTCAAATATTGTTTTTATCTATTTTTCGAATTTTTATATATATTTTAATGTGTCACAATGAAGCTTGGCATTGTACAGCCTGCTAGTATATTAAATTTATTAATACAAACAAAACTCCGTTTCGCAGTTCTCATTTTCCTTGTACGGTAATCGATTGATTTTAAATGTTACTATGTCATGTGAGCATTGTTATCCTATGTCGTTATTGCTCCATATTCATAAGGTCTTCGTAACGGAATATTATTATAAATAGAGATCGATTGGCGGTCGAATATCGAACAATTTGAATGTGTTGTTTTACCGTGGGAGAGCTATGCTTCGGCATGAATGGGCCAGCTCGACCGGAGTGATACCACGGCCTCACAGAAAACCGGTGTTAAGCAATTCTTTCGTTGCCTTTTACTGAGTGAGTGAGGTTACCGGAGCCCAAATCCCACCTCTCGCTGACTTGAGCGTGAGGGACTCCAAGGGCGGCAACGCATTGGGCACCAGGGACTTCCTTTTTAGGGTATACCTGGTTCCCCGGCTATTAGTACCCGAGACGGCGTGCGGTTTTAGTCGGTTCGAGTCCGACATGCCACCGACAGATGGTGAGGGGATTTCCGCACAAAAAAAAAAAAGGTTTAAGTAAACCTTAAACTCTCGCTGTTTGGACTTTTGTATCATGACGGATCAAAACTATACTGGATGTGTATAATTTTTGTAGCCTTTTTTAGATAATTTTTAACTGTACAGCATATTTGCCTAAAAATATAAACTTTCTGCATTTCTTCTATGCATAAACATTCATATACCAAATGTGATTTGCGTCCTTGCGTCACATTTGTTCCAAAATAATTACAAAGACTTGTGACACGTGTTGTTTTGTTTATTTAATATTTAGTATGATTACACGATGTGGTGACGGATTAAGAATACGGCGTGTTGCGTGGCGCAGTAATTAAGATTTTTTTGTTTGAAAAAGATAATAATAATCATTAAGGATATCGACAGAAACAGTGGGACAGATATACATACATACTGAAACACACATACATAGGTTTTTGCTTAGTTACATACATAAATAGATACACAAAATTATATACAAAATTTGAGATGTGATGAATCTGCTTGGGTGTCTAAAATGCGAGCTCGGACTTTTGTCTTAAATGAGAGGCGGCTGGGTGCTAACCTGATTTCGAGAGGTAGAGCATTCCAGAAGAGGACTGATTGGATTAGTAATCCACCCTTCGTTACTACACGCGGAAGTATGACTAGGACACAACAGGAGTGGATTGTTTGAGGAACGGAGGGTCCTGTTGTGAACATATACATATATTGGAATGAGGTTGTAAGGTAGGAAGGGGAATTGAGAATTGAATAGAGGGTGGTGAGGACGCTTTCAGTCGGTATCAGTATCCCTTGATATTGAGTCCCCTTCGTACCTTAAACTAGTCTAGCATCCCCAAAAAAGCCCTCCATCTTTAATAATTTATAAATTTGAAACTTATGCGAAAAATAAGAAATAGAGCTAAAATATATGTTAAAAAGAGACGGATGAGTTATGAAAACTTTCACATTGTAATTGTTGATGATTCACTGTTAGTGGCATTTCAACTGAACCCTTTGCTAACTGTACCCAGATACCGCATCTTGTTATGCATACAATAACACCAGAGGTTGATAACATTTTGTAGAATCAAAATAAAATCATTATTTTTATCTGTTTAGGAATTGCCCGAGTTTCGATGCTGCGGTATTTCCGGACCGATACGACCTTCAAACCTTCAAGAAAAGAGGGTACTCATTTCTTAAAGGACAGCTATGCCTTTGAGTTAATGGGCGGCGGTACTCGTTTTCCACCAGTTAAACCTCATTCTGCTCATTTGCTCCCTGTATCATTAAAAAAATCGAGTTAAATTTATTTACTATCCCCCTTAGATGGTTATGATGAATATGAGCTGGGTAATCTCTCAAACTATCAATGATACTATAAAGTACAGCAGCGATCTCGCGGTATAGCGGAGTGTTACCAAAGCCTCACAAAAAACCGGTGTTTAAGTAATTCTTTCTGTATGAAGTTAGCACTTAAAGGGGGGCAACGCACACGTCTCCTGAGATACATGTATCCATGGATGGTGTAGGTCACTTACCGTCAGGTGACCCGTTTGCTTATTTGCTTCCTATACTATAAAAAAGCGATTATAACTGTGAAGAATAGCAATGGGGAATTGACAAAGATCTATTGTGATGGTTCATGCTGACATGTAATTCTAAGTATTCAATGACAAGAGAAATATGTGAACTCCCACGGTGAGTCGTCGTTCTCGTTACCGATACTTGTGCCTTTGTAATTCCTCAGTAAGAATAAAGTGAATTTTGGGTGACCTCCACAGTTATTGTGTACTCCACAATATCCGTATACGCAGAATAGAAACCCTTACCCTACTTTGGCAGTATACACTACAGTGGAATTCTGGAGGTCTTCCAAAATATCGTTTATTCCTACTGAGGAATTACAAAGGCACAAGTATCGGCGGTAAGGAGAACTTACAACGACTTCTTAGGAGTTCACATACATATACTAAGTACAAAGCCTGATATTTAATACTCAGAATTACATGTCAGCATTAACAAGCACAGATCCTAACTAGACGTGAATCATTTTGCAGCATTACTCAAACTTA